GGCCAGACTAACCGGTACATCCCTTAACTCGGTCACGCTCTCATGCACCTTATCCGCGAGGCGAGGATGCAACATCCCTGCGCTTGTTCTCGGCATCCGCCTGCATCCGCCTGCATCCATAGCAAGTCTGAATGTTGGGCCATCTCTAATATAGCATTCTGGCCCTCATTCACGACCCGTTTGCTGGCAACTGGTCACGCTACCTCCGGATTACACCGCCGAGACCCTGTCGTCCAGCGGTATGCATCATGCCCATCAGCGCCGAGTCGCCCGTGTGAGGGAGACACTAGGGGAACGGCTCGCAGTCAGATGAAGGTGGCATGCAGGATCCCTTACGCTTCAGGCCATTGTTTGCTGCCTCAACCCCCTGACTGCTATTACCCACCAGGCGCTTTCCTCGATCAACGACTTCACAACAGATTGGGACCCTTGTGCATGGGACGACGTCGTCCCATTCATTGACCGAATTCCTCAACTGGTCACTATGTTGCTTTTCAGATATGCATGCGCGTGCAATCTTTTCTTGACTTCCTGTGCGTCAGCCCGACTCTTGGCTTATCAATCTCTCTGCTTTGGTCCTACCAGACCTTTGGACATATGATCATGACTTGGAGGGGACATGCACAACGTTGCGCGCCAGGCGTCACTTCTATACTCCCCCAGCTTCGTTCAAAGCATCTCTCTCTTTCTCGCAAAACCGACCCTAGTCGTGGCTCAACCTTGCGAAGCTCTACCAGCCAGCCTCTTGCTCCGCTGTTAACTAGCGTTAGGATGCCAGATTGATTGACCCCCGGCTCGGGCCCGCAAACCCACGGAAGCTGGGCCGCCATGTGTCCACATGATGAGGCGTTTAGAGATCGCCATACCGGTGTCTCGCGCTTCTGATGAACTGCTGGAAGCTACACGGGTAACTGCACAGTTTTCAGCCCGTGAAAAGCAATACCAGTCAACGGGGGAAAGAGTTAGCCTTGCATCGTGCTCTAGCAAGTTAACGCCTGTGTTTTCGTCTTCAGACCAGCAAACGGACTGGGGCTAACATAGCCCATCACAACAAATTCTCCGCTTCTTGGTGGCCCTAACCCTGGAGCCCTCCCACTAATACAGGGCACTGAAAGAGAAAGCTACTATCCATATTCCCTAGAAACGCCTACCAACCCAACCATCAGAGCGTAATCTGCGCAAACTCATTCGAGGATCCCCGGTGGCACAATTGGCTAGCGCGTCAGACTGTTAATCTGGAGGTTCGTGGTTCGAGCCCACGCCGGGGAGACAATGTGGTTAAAATCCGCAGTGCAGACTCAAGCTCAAACCTTTTGACATTTGTTCTTCTCCATTGGCCTCCCGATAGTGCTTTTTTTTCAACTCTCCTTACGACGAGGAACAGAGAGAGATATCGTGGTTTTTCTACTTGGTTCTGACACTCGACCTCATTGATCCCTCTTAAGGTTCACAACGAATGGCATAGCCGTGTGGTCCACATGCAAGGCAACAACAGGTGCACAACGTTGCTACGTCTCGTTTCACTTCCTACCGGCATGGTTGTACTGGACGAAACATGGAAAGTCAAGCTACGGCATAGCCGCCAGTGTCATTGGATCTCATCGATTTGGATCATCTCATTGCGGCTGTTGATAGGTTTTTGTCTTTCCCCACTAGGAATCCTTAACCACAGACACGTAGAGAACAACAATCTGTCATTACCTTCGGTCAAGTCAACTCACCGTGCTCGGTAAACCGCTGCGCGGCCAGCTGATATAGACATGGTCATGGAGAAAAATGGGCGACTCTCCACCACAATATTGCTAGGCTGGAAGCCTCAAAAGCTTGACGCCGGCCGGCGTTGGGATCCCCTAGGCCCTTGTATGTTTCCCCCGTAATCGATATATGACAGATCACACACCAACCCGCACAGCCCTGTAGATCTTTCACCGCTTGCAAGAACATCTCCTTTCTTTCTTGAGATGAAAAAGCTGCAAGGATGGCCTGCATTATGGGCAGCAAGAGGGGCATGGGAGTCAATATCCTGGCTTGCCCTCCCGGTGCGGTGTTCCCGGCTTCGAAGCACCCCGGCAGAGCTTCAATGTTTATCACATGTGCCGCTTGAGTCCCCGAGCGTTCTTAAAGCATGCATTCTTCAAGGCGGCTACCACCCTCCAGGGGCGTTCTCACGTCACACCCAGCTTCAGGCATACCGGTTGCGGTGCAACAATCCTGGCAAACGGCCTGAACGGGGACGGCTGGCCCTGTTCTGCTCGCCTCGTCTTCCCTCTCCATGCGTCTGTTGTCATTTTGCTCCTCCTGGGTTGTCCAAGTTCACCGGCTAGCTTCCGTCGCCAAGCCATCCGATGGTCGACTGGGGTTCCGGGGCGCCCGGAATTCCTTACATTAAAGAACACCAAGTCAAAGCATGCTGATATCACGGTCGCTTGATACGTGGCTGTCAAGGATCCATGGTAGGCCTCATGGCCAGTGGTGAGTGGCCTTACACCGCTGATTCGTGAATGTGCAGAATACGCTCCGTTCTAGTGGCCATGAGTGTCAAGACCGACAACAGCGCTGCGATCTCGGCTGTGGAGCAACACATTCGTTGACTCACCAGGATCCGACCGAGAGGAGAAGTTGGTCAGCCTGGATGGAGTCGGAAACCTTGGCGGGCCGAACAAGAGAGCCTCCTGGCCGCCCGCAGCTGGACTTGGATTGAACCGATTGGAGGCTCTGCGCGGACCGGAAGTCACTACGTTTGTTCTAGAACAAGCGCCATGTGAAGCCTTCCAGGACGATGAGGGCCCTGCCGCTCTGGCTAGGTGTAGTCCCGTATCATCCGTCAACCGCACCGCAACGCCTGGGACACGTCAGAGCAGGGCTGACGTGTACGCTGGGTTATTGCTGTTGAGAAAGCTCCTGTCTTTAGCAAAAAAACAGGCCATGTGATGTCGTCTTGGACATTGGTTTTTGGGGCGGACCTGGTTGATGGATGGAAATATGCCTCATCGGTGTCCACGGTGTACTTCGGCTTGTCAGTTCAGCCTCTTAGCCAAGGTACGGATCCCACAAGCCGGTCGTGTATTGACGTAACGTCTACAAAATTCGATAGCTGCTGTTGCGGGCGGGAGTTTGTTGTCGCAGTCAATGGGAGTTGGGCAACAAGGGAGGGCTGGCCGAGGCCAGAGGCGAACGCAGACTTCCGGTTGGCTACCGTTCAGTCTTATTTTGCCAACTAAACCATTGGTGCTGTGGCTTTCTGTGTCACGGAACAAGAGAATACCAACCTCTGACGCTGCTGACGGCGCCCTGGGATTAGCGAGGGGTGACAATGCATTAGCACAAAGGGACTAACCACGTAGCCGCGGTCCTCAGAGCCTGGATTCGATCGATATCTAGGGTTGACGCCTAGTGGGCTGGGACATCAGGTCGTTTCTGTCATGTCATGGATGGGGAGGGAGGCTGTCAGACCTGGCAACGCATCAGTGCCTGCGAGCCGTGAGCCTCCGGAAGCTAGCTGCATCTGACACAACTTGAACGGACCTACGATGGCAGGCCTCGGTTCTAAATGAGGCAGGGTACTGCAGCTCGCGTTGACCGAAAGCCAACATGAGTGGCTGACATTCACTCGGTGAAGCACCAGCATGGCTCTTGGCCTGGTACATCCGCATCAGGTTCAGGATACATCTTGTGTAACAATGACTGGATTCTGAAGGCAGTGCACGCGGTGAGAGAGGCCTTGCATCGATGTAAGCCACAAGCGCAGGCCCGAGCTCCTGATTGAAGGAGAGGTCAGCAGGATGCTCGCTAGGTGCGGTGAATGAAGGGATGGATTGGGGTCGGGCAAGATAGTAAGACAGCCGACCGCTAGTCCCGGGCAACATCGGGGGCTGCTGCGGGACACGATGTTTGGCGTTCGTTCAGCCTAGAGGAGGCGTGAGACGATCAACGGCTAATGACTTACATTCATGACGATCTTGTCTCCCCCCACTAGCCGAGTGTAGGCAAGTTGTCGGATGCTGTGTGCAGAGAGAGCGCCCATCCTGGTGTTTGAGGTAGGACGAGAACGACGTTCCCAAAGCTCCATCATCTGACGAGGAGCAAGCGGCTGGGAGCTCCCGTCTAGCTGTGAGTGACACGGGCTGGCCTGCAGTGTGTGGGCCTTGGTCCCGTCCAATGTCCCCACAATTGCCCGTACCGTGTATCGCACAACGGCCGATACTGTATCTCGGGTTGCGACTTCATCACCGAGGGGGGCAAAAATGCTTTTTGGCTGAGGTGTCTGAATGCCAGCGCGGCAGGGTTGACCTCAGTTGATGCTGTGTTGTGTGCGACATGCGGAGGCAAGGGAGAAGGAATACGCGCGAGGCAAGACAATGCAGCTTCTGTCTGGGTATGGGAATCATGCTGTGGCTGACTCTCGGGCATGAGAAAGGACGGTCGTCTATGTTGGCAGCCGTCCCTGATTTGTCGAAGCCGGCTTCCATGCTGTTCCCTTTTCTACTGCGACCTTTAGGTACTTGCGCCTTAGACAGAGAAAAGTGACCCAACCAACCCCCCGTACACCGTCAACTTGCTAGGCCTTATCACTGTTTTTCTTTTTCTCCCATTCCTCCTGCACCCTCACCGCATCATTCACCCCCTGCCTAGCCACCTCGCCACACACCGGCCCTACACAAAGGGTATCCGACGCTACGCTCCGCTCCGCTCATTCTCCGTCCAGCCCAATTGTGGAGGAGACAACAACGGCTTCCAACCTGTTTTCTCCCCTCCCTATCTTCCTCAGGTTTCACTGCCTACCCACGCACGACCTGCCTGACGCAACCCACTGGGCGCAAGCCACGAACCACGCACGCGGGCACACGCACGCAAGCAAGCAAGCAAACAACCTACATACAGCACGGGCATAGCAGCAGCCGCACACCTCCACCTCTACCAGCGTGTGGCAGCGCATCGCATCGCATCGCATCGCATACTATCGATCAACGCCGACCGACCCAACCACAAGGCGGTACAAAATGGCTGGCAAGAAGGGAGCAGACAACAGCAAGAAGGCCGCTGGCAACGCCCGCAAGACCGAAGCAGCCGCCCAAAAGGCCGCCGCCGAGGACGCGAAGAAGGCCGCCGCCGAGGAGGCTGAATGGTCAAAGGGTGCCAAGGGCAACGCGAAGAAGTGAGTGAGAGGAAGAGTCAGCGAGGGATGGTGGCACCACCAACGTTCCTACAATGCATCACACGCAGACACACATACACTGCCTCGACGCCACCCCGATCCATCATTCCTCACAAATCATGCGAGATCACAGCTCCCCTACGCAGAGAACCGGACCAGAGCCATGGCTAACCACACTTTTGATCGTCCAGGGAGGCGGAAGCCGCCAAAAAGGCCGAGGCAGCTCGGAAGAAGGCCGAGAAGGAGGCTCTCCTGAAGGAGGAGGAGGCCAACACACCGGGTCGAGCTGGCCCGAAGAACAGCAAGACGGCTGTCAAGAAGACGCGCGGGCTCGACCTGTCGCAGCTCGACGATGACCGCAGCGGCGGCTCGCTCGCAGCGCTCAACGCCACGGGTATCGACAACGCGCTTGACGCCCTCTCGCTGACGGGATCCGACAACAACGCCAAGGTCGACAGGCACCCCGAGCGACGGTTCAAGGCGGCGTATGCGGCCTTTGAGGAGCGCCGCCTCAAAGAGATGGACGACGACGGCACGGGCCAGGGCCTGCGTCTGCAGCAGAGGAAGGACAAGATCAGGAAGGAGTTTGAGAAGAGCCCGGAGAACCCCTTCAACCAGGTGAACGCGAAGTTCGACACCACAAAGGAGGAGCTGGCCGAGATCAAGCAGAAGGAGAAGAGCAAGATCGAGGCCAGACTCGGGAAATAGGGCTGAGCGGGACGCCCGTCGGCACCGTCTCCCTGCTGTTCCACGATGCTCGGTGACACGCCTGGAATGGTTGCATGTAGACGTCGCACAGATATGCTAGGGCTTGATAGCAGCAAGCATCAGTCACTTGCATGAGGCATACCACCTCTCGGATGTGAATAGATCATGAGACTGTATTCCGCCCCTCCTCTTCTTGATGGGTGGTTTATCGTCGGTGTCTCACGTCACAAATGACTCTGGTGTGCACAGCATGAAAATCGCGCTCTTAACCAGCCGGACCTCCGTGAACCTTGCATTCTGTCGCTCCAGCATCCTTTCCATCCCTCTTTGTCTCCTTGTTTTCTCCCGCCCGAACCGCCAGGAGCGATGGTAAAATGTCCGATATGACCGAGATGACAACAATTTTTGGCGGGGTAGGTAGCGTGACGTACCTACCTACCTACAAAGAAGGTGGGGGTTGACTTGTCTCCGTCATCGATAAGATAAGTTGACTTCTTATCGAGATAACGAATTGATACGGCAGAATCCTTCACCGCCTGTCCTGACCGCCTTGCCTCACGCATGAACGATTCCCTACGCAACCGTCTCAAGTCATTTTATCTCATCGGGGTGCCTTCTATCTCATCAAGTATCTCCTTTCGGATGCGTTATCAAAGGCCAACATGACGAGTCTACGAATGGGCAGCATGCCCTCGTTGAGGCGGCAGCACCTCCTCGCTGAATTGTAAGATCTCTCAACGCACTCTCACCCTGAAGCTGGAGTAAACATGTAATTGCTGACCCCTGGATACTAGCGCCGGCCTAAAGCAGGCTTGTCCGGAGGGTGTATTCGTGAGCCTAACGCCGGGGGACCCGATGTTGTGGTCGGGTGTCATGTTTTTGAGGCACGGTATGGAATTCTGGGATTCTGCCACAGCGAGAGACAGGTGATAGAATTGGACACAGCGTGACTGAGACGCTTACAGGACCCTACGCCACGGCCATCCTCAGATTCCAAATATCGTTCCCGGACACCTACCCCCGCCTACCGCCCCTCGTTACCTTCTCGACAGACATGTTCCACCCTCTCATAACACCATTGACGACGTACATGTACACCACCGACATCCAGGACAACGGTACTGTCAGCGCTACCGACGCCGAACGCCTGCCGCCTGGGGATTCAGTCTGCGACACGGGTTCCCGGCCTGGTTTGGGAGGGGCAGTCGGAGTAACGCCGGAAGCAGACAGGTCAGCGGCCAGCAACAACCGCCTTCGACGCCCGCCAGAGGCGGCTTTTCCAGCACCGCAACGACACCGAGCTCAAAGGCTACGCCCTTGGGTGGTCAGCCGGGGTATCTCGACACGTCGAGGCGGGAGGTCTCGACGTACGAGGTCTTGCGGTATATCCGGAGCACGTTCGACGATGAGAGCGTGCTTGACTCAGTGCCGCTCGAGGCGGCGGGTAACCCAGGTGCGTGGCATGCGTGGAGGACACGACAGCGTCAGGCGGGCAAGGTGTTCCCTGGGGACCCTGTTTCTCAAGCGAAGCAGGAGAAGGAGACGGAGCCCGGTGATGCTGCAGAGGAAAAGAAGGATGGGGAGGAGAAGGAAGAGGAGAAGCCTCCTGCACCTCCTGCGCCTGAGACGAAACCGGCAAGTAGCGGGTTCGCCATTGCGAGGAAGCCCATTAGCGGCGCGGGTGCTGCTGCGGTCCCCAGAAAGCCTGGAGAGTGGAACTGGGAAGGCGTGTGGGAGGATCGAGTGCAGAAGAACATTGCAGCCTCTTTGTCGGAGGCGGTCCTGTACGGCGCGACGTTGGGTGGTGGCGACGACCTGGTGAGTGACCTTTGGAGTTGTCTTTCTCAGGAAAAGTGAAGTAATGCTGACTGCGCTGCAAGATAAACTTCCTTCCGATGGACGAAAGTGACGTGGATTCTGTCAGGGGTAACCTGCTGCGCACGTTGGGAAGCAGCGGCGCGGCGACCCCTGAAGAACTCAGCAGCAGCATGCAGAGCGTGCCTGCGGCAGAATGATGACCCTACCCTTCTTGATAGCGACTTACTTTTACAACCTTATGACTTGGCCTTCCCTCCATATTCTACCTCTCCTTCCGCCGTTGCTGGCTTTCGGACTCATGCCCTGGGTGGCCTTCTTCTACCGTTCTGTTACATAGCTAAACCTTCATGCAATGGGCCATCCATAGTAATCATTTTCCATAAGAGAGCCCGCCCCAAAGATAAACAAAAACACCGTTCGTGTTATCATTTTTTCGCATTATGGGCCTCTCGCCGCCCGTGTTTGTAGTCCTCATTGTCCTCGCAACGATCGTGCCTCCCCTGACCGCCGGAGCTCTTCTGTCTCGCTTCGTCTGCCGTAACTTCAGAGACGCAGCCGGTGCCGTCGAGCCCAAGCCCCGTCGACGCTGGTTTGGCCTCCGACGCACCAGGTCTATCGACAGCACCTCAGCCGACAGCCTCGCAACCCGCGCCCAGAGCTACACGGATTCATGGCACGACCTCGAGAGCCTGCACACGTACAGGGATACACCGACGCCCTCGCTCCAGTATTGTGCTCAGGATCAGGCCCCGCCGGTGGTAGCACCAGTACCTGCGGCTATTCGAATTCAGCCGCCACCGGAGACATGGCATCCCTCGAGGGCGAGCCGGCTGACGTGGAGCTTCTCGCCGACGAGGCGGCACCCGAGCGAGCTTCAGAAGTCCCACAGCCGCTCAGGGTTCTCAAAAGACTCGGGTATGGTCCTAGAGGGTTCAGGGGAGGACGAGGAGCAGAGAGCCCGCGACGAACGAGCGCCGAGACCGGCGAGAGCCTAAGCAGTGCGCAGGAGCCACCTGATGAGCCTCTCGTGGTGCTAAAGAGGAGGAGGAATCAGGGAGCTACGCTGACGCCTGGGTCGACGGGTGCTGGCCAGCAACCGGCGTTTCCTGGCAGTATACCACGAGAAAGCCGTAAGTACTGGTCTTGACATTGAGGAGAGATTTGCTCATTCAGCCTAGGACTACATGGTTCTGAGAGCATCAACGTACATTCCATACCTAGGCTGTCATACGACGGCGTTGACGTTTTGCCTCATCATTCTTGTCATAGTCCTCCTCCTTGCTTTAGTCCAGCTATTGCACGGAGCCTGGGTTACGACTCGATGATCCTTGTGCCTCGGATATCTGTAACCCCAGAGATTAAAACCATCGATATTAGCACTACGTCCATCTGGGCTGCCGTCAACGTTACTGGGCAAACCTACCCGCCACTGTACAGACCACCTGGTCCATGCAACTTTGTTGAAAGATATGATTCATCAGCTGACAGGGACTGTTACCAGGATGCCGAAAGTTTGTTCAGTCTTCGTTGACATTCTTCTTTTCGTACTGACATCCGTCCGTCTAGGTTTTTTGAAGTACGGGTGTATACATAATATGAGCATCCAGTTTATCCCGACCGGGAATAATTGCATTCTTGATATTATTCAGGACAATCCAACACCAACGTGAGCATCCACTCTGGCGGGATTGACGTGTTCTAACAGCCTTACAGAACTCTGGGCAACAACGAAAGGGTACTGCTGCTTGTGCATGTCCATTTAGAGCAGCCTCACACTGGAAAGCAACCAGGTCACATTCGACAGCGATCAGATGAGCTGATTAAGGATCTGGAATATCAGCTGGGAGATACTCGCTTGGAGTATTTTCGGGTTGTCGTCAAATACAACCATTCAGCATTCCCCCCTCAAGATCGGTCTGACGCCGTTAATGGCTTTGTCGAGATGGGAACAAGGCTGGAGACTTCTACCACGGCTATTGTCAAACATCACAACTACCGATCGCCATGGTCTCCGTGTCCCGCGCAAACTACCAATCCTCTATTGAGCATCATCTACGACTGTTGGGAGCCGGAGAAAGCTCGGAACGCCATGCGCCGCATTACAAACCAACCACCAGTGCCGCATAAGCTGGCCAAGTCAAGAGCCAGGATAGACCTGCCAATAGAAGACAAGCCAATGGCCACGCGGATGCCTCCGGTTGTGCCAAGAAGGGAGGCTAGCCTAGGAAAAGACACAGCAGTCGGACGACTAGAACCTCTTTACGGCGGGTGGTCCCAACCTCGGAGGACCTCGGCAGCGGATTGGCGGAAGACCCGTGCGGCGCAGGGGGAGCGGGTGTCATCAACTGCAACGTGCCCCGATGAACCAACGGTCGAGGTCGGGGCCGGCGCCGGGTCCGGTACCGGGCTTCCTAACCATACGGGTATGCTGAGAAGTCCGCGGTCGATGGGTCCAGGGGTTCTGAGAAGTCTGGGTGCATCGGCTTTTGGTTCCGGTACTCATGGTCATTCAGTGGACAGAAGAGGGATGGTCGGAGGTTCACTCCGTGAGCAGGGACAAATACAGTCCAATCGCTGGAGTTGGACGGGTTGGTTTTCATGACAGTTGGTAGCTTGGAGTTTGGTCTTGATTCGATAGCCTGAGTTGATTTAGGTGATTGCAGCTTGTGCGCTAGTCTTCAGTTATGAGAAAGCGCACGCGTTTAGGTATCATCGAATCATCAAGTGGTGCTGTTTCAAACTTTTTTTTCCTGTCTGGGTTCTCTTCTTATTTTAAGCGTTTTTGTGTTTGTTTGCTTTTTTTCTTCTGCTTCTTCGTATCAAAACCCCTTTACAGCAACTCATCCCTCCAGGGGATGGAAGTCTGCGCGCCCTTGCGCTCGACCGTCTTGGCGGCGGCGCGGTTGGCATTCTTGATGGCCGAGGAGATGTCAAAGGCCTCGCCCTTGGCCTGGGCGTTGACGGCGGCGACGCAGTAGGAGCCGACAAAGGTATCGCCGGCGGCGGTGGTGTCGACGACCTTGACCTTCTGTGCCGAGATGAGCTCGGCGGCGCCGTCCTGGTTGGTGTAGTAGACGCCGCGGCCGCCGAGGGTGATGATGACGTTGCGGACCTTCTTGGCCATAAACCACTCGCCGACGCGCTTGATGCCCTCCGGGGTGTCGAGCTCCGACTCTTCGCAGCCGGAGAGGATGGCGGCCTCGGTCTCGTTGACGACGAGGTGGGCGAGTCCGTCGTAGGCCTCGTCGGGGAGGCGCTGGGCAGGAGCGGGGTTGAGGAGGACGGGGACTGCGGCGGCCCTTGCGGAGCGCAGGGCGGCGAGGACGGTCTCGAGAGGCACCTCGAGCTGCATCACCAGCAGGTCGGGCTTGGGGTCGAGGGTCGAGGGGAGGGAGCCGAACTTGTCCGGGGTGACTGCGTGGTTGGCCTCGGGGGCGAGGATGATGCGGTTCTGACCGGTGGGCTCGTCTACAACAATGATGGCCATGCCAGTCTTGAGGTCGCTGCCAACAGCGATGCGGTCGGTGCGGACGCCGTGCTCGCCGAGGTTCTTCAGGAGGAGATCGCCGTATGAGTCGCTGCCGACGGCGCCGATCATGGAGACGGAGGCAGACTCGTTGGCGACGTCGTTGGGGGCATCGCGGGAGCGCGAGAGCTTGGCGCAGGCGACGGCCTGGTTCGCGCCCTTACCTCCCGGGGAGATGACAACCGAGTTGGAGGTAAGGGTCTCACCCGGCAGGGGGTGGTGAGGGACGTAGGACGTCAGGTCAATGTTCAGGGAGCCGAGAACGGTGATCTGGGGGGTCTTGGAGGCGGCCATTCTGTGTGATTCTTCGCGCGTGAGCGGACGTGGTTGTTTCAAAGGTGTCGTAAGTCGTGAGTCGTGATAATATGACTCGAAAGTCCAAAGTCAAACGGCAACGCGAGAGGGTGGCTGAAATATTATATCGAATTGTTCCAGTGTCCGTTACTCGGTTCGCGAACAAAGCAAAAGGCTGGCTTCCGAGCGAAGGAATGCAGCTCGGATACTGAGTCGAGATAACGGTATTGAAGATCCGGTGGTGAGGGGCACAGGTTGGACCGCACGCGTCGAAGTTTTCCAACCGACGAACGGTGAGGGGGACCCCGCCAGGTAGGACGATGATGTATTCAGTGGGGCACGGCGTGGTGAGCTTCCAGGTTCGCGAGTGGGAATTTGTGAAATGGTGGAGGGGACGGGCAAGGACCGAGTGGGACACACATGGGAGTCTCGCCCTATGGGCTGAGAGAGATGGAAAAAGCCTTGCATTTCTTGCATTTTTGGCAGTATTGGACTGCCGACGGGGGCTGTAGAATTTCCACAGAAAAAACGCTGTGAATGCAGGACAGGGGGAAGAAGGTTGGAAGGCAGTGGCCGAGTAGGGGAGAAAGGGGTCCACACTCGCTAGTTTTGGTTGTTAATCGTTAGTTGACCTTTCGCAAATCTGGCGTTGCAGAGCAGAAAGGTCGATCTGGGCGATGAGACGGTGGGCTTGAGTTTTGGGCGTGTCCGGCGTATCTGGCCTGGCCAAGCCAAGGGACGATCGATCTGGGAGACCTACCTAGTCAGTTGAGGCTCCAGCTGCAACCATTATCACCATGCCTTTTGGCGTGCTCGCCCAACCTCCTCCTCCTTGAACCCCCTACCTCCCGTCCCGGACAACAACTCTGGGCTCTGGCACTGTGAAGAGCCGACCCGAAGTACGGCTACGGGGCCGTCTTTTAGGAGGGAGAGTTAGCTCGGTGCAAGCGCATCCGACCCCTTACCGTTGGTGCATACTTCCGATCGGGTGTTGCAATGGAACACGTCAGGGCCTCCTTCACCTTACCCTTCTTTACGCAATACCCAGATGGACCCTTACCCTCCTGTCCTTTCCTGCCCGTCCATCCGCCGAGTCGGGATCCTCTGACCTCCAGCTGCCGGGGCGCTACTGAGGGCCTGGACCGCCCATTTCCCACGCTCCTCGACGGAACTGCAAGGCCGCCGGAGAGCAAGCATTCCATCGTGTCAACATCTCGAGTTGCATGAGAAAGAAAAGAGGCACTTGCTCACACCCTCTGATCCGGGTGCTGACAAAAACCGACCGTTCGTTTCCGTTTCGTCGACACGTGGAAATGGACGACATCGCACCAGAATAAACTTTGAGGGTGCATACGGCTTGCCGTTGGGATTCGGTCCCCCGTTACCTCCTTGTCGCCGCCACGCCATATTGCATTGGTTGCGTCCTCCACGTCTGGGTCCAAAGTGAGCCGGGGTCGCTTGACTGTGGGTGTTGGCGTGGCGCATATGTGTGTGCGTGTGTCTGTGTGTGCATGTGGATGTTGGAGTGTAAATGTCGTTGGACAGAGTTGGGATGAATGACTTGGAGAACCCAAATCATGTGGGAATACAGCAACGACACTCAACGAGGAAGGAGGAATTGAATGGAGAGCGGACCCAGAGGAGCTTAGAGTGACTCGATGTACCTCGCCTATCTCGCCTGCCTACCTACCTGCCTACCTACTTACCTACCTACCTACCTACCTACCTACCTACACTAGGGACGCAGCAGCCCTTTTCCAGCAACGGTACCTATCTATTACCTACTACCGACCTACCCTCTTCCAGTCCCTATCACCTTGCTTTGTCTTGTCCAACTTACCTCACGTTAACGTACGACGCCGTCATGCACTGTTGGACCGACTCGGGAAGCGCCGTGTCTTAGAGCCACATGGATGCTTCCTTCCGTCTCGTCCACTACCCTACTAGGTAGCTTCCGTTCACTACACAAGGCGACTTCCTGCCTCCCGTCCATTTAGCGTCGGTCACTTGTCCATCACGGCTGGTCTCTTGCTTACCCTTTGGATTCGACTTCTCTACTCTGGAACCCTGCACTTGCAATAGAACCTTTCTTTGTTCATTGTCCATCTTGCCTGACTTCGCTTCGCTATCAGAGTCCCCGTTGCTAGTCGACGGCCTGCACTCACTTCTAAACGACCCCTTTGTCCGCGCAACTTCGATATGACGGACCCTGAACGCAGCACCTCGGCATGGACGACGACACTTGTCTGTCTGGCCATTGTCGTCTTTCTGATTTTCATCAGACCGCGGTCTTCTTGGTCACATCTGCCTCTGCCTCCCGGACCGCCGGGCGAGTTCCTCCTTGGTCACCTCCGTGTTATACCCAAAGAGAGGGCAGCCGAAGTATACGCGCAATGGGCCAGGGAATACAGTGAGAGCCCAGTCCCCCCTCCCTGCGCCCTCAAAAGACCTTTGTTTGACTGATGCGTTCTCAGAATCAGATATCATTCACGTCAGGTCCCTTGGCCAGTCCATGATCGTGCTGAACAGCGTTGAAGCCGCCAAGGATCTCCTCGACCGTAGGGGGGCCAACTACTGCGACAGGCCCAGATTTACCCTATTCGAGGTGTACGTTACCCCTCCTCTCGTGCTGAAAGCGTCCGGTGGACATGCTAACGTATCTTGCACCTCCGCAGCATGGGCTGGGGGAAGACGCTGACCTTTCTGCCCTTCGGTCCCCGCTGGCAGATGCACCGAAAGCTGCTGCAGACCACTTTCAGCAACACAAATGTGCGGCAGTGGTACTCTTTACAGGTTGCCGAAGCCCGCAGGTCCGTCCACAATATCATACAGAACCCAGAGAATTGGGAAATGTCCATGAAAAGGTAAGGCGGTTCTGGGCCTTTCATTTACCGCTCTTTGGCTAAGATTCCAGGTTTGCTGTTGCCATTGTTCTCAAAGTGAGCTATGGCATCGACGTCCCAGATGATGACGACCCGTACGTTAAGATTGCTGAAGACGCCATGTATGCGACTGGAAATGGCGGTGTTCCCGCCAGCAGCATCGTTGACATATTCCCCCCTGGTAAGCAGCGGATGCAAAACGCCTCCTGAAAATTGTGCGTTTGAGTAACTTTATCCGGCACCACAGCTCGTCATTTTCCCGACTGGTTGGTTCGAGACTGGTCGCTGAAATTTGCGCGAGAATGGGGATGGGCTATACAGAAGCTGCATGATGTTCCGTTCGCAGTTGCACAAGACGAAGTGGTAAGTCCACGCTCCTTGTTGTGTCTGACGCCCGCAACGCTAACAAGTCAAGGCTCGTGGCAAGGACAGCCCATCTTTCGCGCACGCGCTGTTGGAAACGTACACATCCAACACCAAGAGTGGTCTCGATAACGAGTGGTCACTGGACGATATCAAGGGGGCAGCAGGTGCCATCTTCATTGCAGGAGCAGACACGGTATCTTAGTCCCTTGCCCATGACACTCCGACGGGTACCTCCGTAAGACGTTGCTGACTCCGGCTACCCACAGACTTGGGCCACCATTGTTGTTTTTGTCCTAAATATGGTGCTGAATCCTGAGATTCAGAGAAAAGCTCAGGCATTGATCGATCGGGTGGTCGGGCACGACAGGCTACCCGACCTCTCAGACAGACCATCCCTCAAATACATTGACCATGTTGTCCAGGAGGTCTACAGGTAAGTGTTTAGCTGCGACTCAAGCACGTGTGGGATGCTTCCTGACGAGGTGATCCAGATGGTCACCGTTGGCACCGCTGGGGCTTCCCCACAAGTCCCTCGAAAACGACGTCTATAACGGCATGTTCATCCCGAAAGGGTAGGTTCACTCGTCCTCAGCTCCCCTCGCCGGCCCGAAAAGCTGAATGCTTCTAGAAGGAATTGCTAACGGCTTTCCCCAGGTCAATTGTCTTCTTCAATTCGCGCGCCATGACTCAAGATGAGAGGATATACCAGGACCCCAAGTCTTTCAACCCAGACAGGTACCAGCCAGAATCGTCTGGAGGACATGGTGAGCCCTTGCCCCTTGGGCAATTTGGATTTGGGCGTCGAGTCTGCATCGGCCGGTTTCTGGCGGACAACAGTGTTTGGATGGCTGTCGCTACGATGCTCGCCACTCTCAACATCGGCAAGAAAGTCGGAGCAGATGGCCAAGCTATCGAGCCCAAGGTTACGTTCACCAATGGTGGAACATGGTAAGTGGTGTGCTGCCCTATACTTGCTGAGGCTTGTGGTGTTCTGACGTCCAAATGAAAGCCATCCGGAGCACTTTGACTGCTCAATAACGCCACGCAGCAAAAAGGCTGAAGAGTTGCTGCGCCATTCTCTCTCTCTTGCTTGAATGGAAAACGGCAAAGTGAGACGTTCTGGCCCTTAGGGAGCTTGCATTACTAAACTTTTAGCCTTCGAGTTGATGAAACCGTGCACAACTGATTTTGAGGGGGGCCCGGATGTTCTGGATGCTGACGGGAAACCCCCTTGCAGTTTGGAAGGGCAACCGAGTAAGCTTGTGGCTTCGGGAGTCAAGACGTGAATCAACGACAGCTTCGACGCATAGCCAAACCAGGAAGAGTTCAATTGAACGCCCGTTGATGGCAATATAGAGCCAAGGCCGCATTTGGTTAGATCCAAGGAACCATCGTCCACGTCAACAATGCGGATCTTAGCATCATGTCTGCGCACAATTCTGAACACTGGCGCTCTCAGTTTGTCTGAACCTCGCTCAGGCATGGAGGCACTCGCCATCGTCCTCTGTCGATCTTGTCAATTTCGGAAAGATGAGCTGCATCCACCTCAAGCCCACGTCACAGCTCCTCCAGAAGAGGGCCTGGGTTCCTTTTGACCTCGTCTGGTTGGAGCTGTACCCGCCACAAGAGAGGAATATCTTTGACCTCGGATCGACGCGGCCAACGTGCCTGAACGGCGCGTGAGGGCTGAGACATTTTGACCTCGTTTGGCCATTTTTCTGGACTGAGTTGTGGAAGTCAACGAAGCTCCCTGAAAGAGTCATGCACAAAAAACGGTCGTGGGCACGTAATTCGCCCAGTGTCAAACCGTTTGCACCAGCCATGTCACCCTCACTCAAAACTGTCGACAGAAGGAATAACGTGGCAACGGATAGGCATACGAGAGACGGTGAGACGCATGGGCTGTCTTGCTTTCGCTGACGGGTGTATGACGGAAGAAACGTGACAGGTAGAAATGGGCCCTACGCTAGCAGCGCTCCAAAAGTCGAAACACCTCAAACCTTCAGGCTTGCACTGCATAAGCCATCACCACACTGGCAACTGCAATGCCAAGTTGTTGGTTGTCGAGCGGCCTTTGTACAGGGCCACGACTCGTGATGAGAGGAAAGGGGAGGGATATGAGGGTTCTTGTGCAGGGAAAGATCTGGACCGCCACGCGCGATGCAACAGCTAAAACTCTGGCGACGCGCTAAACACGCCGCCTAGAAAGATTCTTTGGAAGTCACGAGCCACGAGGCGCACTAGGATCAAGCCATAAAACCAAACCCCTCCCTTGGGAGACTGTATCCCATGCGCAACGTTGTTGACCATCCGCCCTCCTCCGGCGATTCGCTACTCATTTCTCTTTTCTGAATCGTTGTCTGGATGCAACTTGCACACACGTTTGATGCCGGCCAAGGATGATGGAAGACACAGAAACAGCTGAGTAGTCGAGATTGTCGCGACAACACATCGGGCCAGCAAGCCCGACAAGCCACCGAAGGCTTTGCAGATGCTGTCACTTGATGCTTAATGGCCCTTCACCGCAACCAAAAGTCCAGCCAAGTCGGCTCACCTTGGCTCCACGACCACGGACGGCGCCCTCCCCCCTCCCCCCCCCTGAGCCGATTGCTGAATGGTAACCTGGAAAGGAGACCCGGATGCTGGCCCCGGCGGACTTCTTATCAGTTCGACGGAATCCTCGGGCCAAGCACAGCTGCCTCTGTAGCTGTAATAATCCAAAACTGTGACAGCTCAGGACCCTGTCAACTCGTCGAGACAAGACGCAGATCCCGGGCTGCGCCGCCGGGGGCACGTGCAGCGAAGACGAAGCCTAGAGAGCGAGACGGGGACGGAACGGGAACTTGAGGCCGCAACAGCCCAAAAGGGGGGCTGGGGGCTCCAGTCTACCTGAAGGGGGGGGGCTCGGACGGGAGAAGGATTCCAGAAGACTGCCAAGTTTTGAGTTGAGCGAAGGAAGGCAAGGACTAAGGGTAGTGCAGCAGCGGTGGGAAAAGGGCTGAAGAAGCATTAGGGGAGATAGGAAAAAGAGGAGCCCCGAAAGTGACGGCCGGCATTCGCGGACTCGCCGATCGACCGCTGGGCGGGAACTTCCTTTCCATGTTGGCGGTAAAGGGAGAGTTTTCCCAGGGACTCCGTCTAAAAAAAAAACGGCGAGGCTTGCTTTGCTGAGGTGAGAGAAAGGTGAGGCAGGGTAGGGGGGGGGGAGGGGAAGGTGGACGTGTGGAGGGCCAGTGCTACGACCTTCATTCCTCCAACGGCAACAGGGAGAGAGGAGAAAAAAACTCTCTCCAATCCAGAGCTCGGTCCCTCAACCTAGGTCTCTTTGGGGGAAAATGAGTTCCTGCGGCATGGGGTTCGGGCACGTTCGACTCTGTATCGGTGTCGGTGCTCTCGCTTCCCCGTGTCGTTTTGATGCTCACTTTCTTACCCCTCACCCAGCTGAGTGAGTGCTTCCTTTCCCCATCTGGTTTCGCGCTGGTCGAGCAAACTCCCCCACTTGGGAATTCTTGGGGATGCGTATGTGTATATGGGGGAAAACTCGGGAGGCTGTAGACTTTTGCAAAAGAATAACACACCTTAAAATAAGAATTGTGAGCTTGTTGGAAACGAGATATAGCAACCAGGGACCAAAATCATCGGTTGTCTTGGCTGAGCAAGTTCTCGAAGAGCTGCCGTTTTCTCCTTCTTTCGCCTCGACCCTCGTCCCGTTCGCACCCCCCCATCTCCGCCCCTCATCCATGCCATTCCACGTCCCCCCCATGCTTCCACATCCCTTCCCCTTGTCCCAGTAGACCTTCCAGGCCTTCCGTCCACTTAGCCTTTGGGGCGAAACGGTCTTCTCGAACTGTAGCTGCTGCTGGCTCCTGCTGGCTGCTGATACTGTTGTTGCCCGCTGCGGCGCCGGGGATTGGGCTCTTCATATCCAGGAAAGACCTTTGACTGTTCGAAGGCATAGCGATGACTCGAGCCGTTTCGGAAGGCACGAGCTTGCACACGGCGATTCGTAATTTCCAACGTCAATTATTGTCGCCAATTCGTACCATCAACGCCTGCCGTTGGCTCCATATTGCACAATCTGCGTCAAACCAAACGAGAAGACGAAAGACCGCGAGCAAGCCTGGGCCCTCTCATCATCCCATCGGCCTCAACTGCACTTCTTCGAGGCTTCTCAGGGTTTTCTCAAGTGGTGGTACTCGTCCAAAATCTTTTGCTTTGTTCGCGGTTGTCCATCGAACCCTATCCCATACTCTGGAAATTCACCAACATTGGATTGCCCGGGCCGAATTCACCGAGTGTCAACATTTTTCTCAACCGTGCTCAAGCGTACGTCTTGGTCGTGCCGACATCCCTAGACGCGACGGTCTCCGATATCTCAGAAACATCTTGGAAGCGACATCGACATTGCCGTTTCTGCACGGGTGCATTTTCGATTCTTGCGGTAAAATATCCAGAAGGCCCATCAACGGAAGCGAGCTGTCGACCCAAACCAAGGTCGGATTCCTGGGGACGCGTCGTCTTTATCGGCTGTCGTACGCCGGCCCATTCTTACGGTTCTTTTCCGCCTGCTCCCCCGAGTTCCAGGTTGTCGCACTCGTGTAGGCGACCTACGCGGGAGGACAGCAGCCAAGCAATCATAAAAGAACGCTCTTGGCGCAAACCTTGCGTCTCTCCCGCAAAAGGGGCGAGCTTGCAGCAAAGGTGACCGCCGCCTTAGCCATCCCCTTAATCCCGCAACAGGAGCCTGCTGCCATGTCCTCTTGGACTTCGATCACGCAAAAGGAGCCGGCCGTGACGTACGACATGGAGAGTCAATCTCCAGTCTCCAAGAGTCAGGGCGGCATTGCCCAGTTGATGGCGGTCCAAGATGGCGAGGCAGTCCACAAGGACAGCGGCCGAAACCCAAAATGGTATCAACGGCTGCTTGATGCCGGCGTCGAGGAGAATGGAGTCCACCCAGTGCCTCTGGCGCAGCGGATCAACACCAACTATAGCAACCTCTTCACTGTTTTCTTCACCACTCTGCTTTGCTTGCTGCCGTAAGTGTTGGTGCGGTCCTCGTTGAGACAGAACTACTCGATCGCTGATGTGTGCCTGCAGGATTCCAACGGGTGCGCTGGCCACTGCACAGCTCGGGCTGAGTTTGAGGGATGCTTCGCTGGTGATCCTCTTCTTCGCAGTGCTGACAACTGTGCCTCCGGCATTCATGGGCGTTGCTGGCTCCTACACTGGACTGAGGCAGCTCGTCCAGGCCAGATATTCCTTTGGGTAAGTTGGTGCGTCGTTTCTAGAAAGCTTGAAGTCTCGCTGAACATCTGGCGATGCAGGTATTACCTCGTTTCCGTCCCTCTCCTCCTGAACGCCGCTACCGTAACCGGCTTTGCCCTCTCCTCCTCGATTGTTGGGGGCCAGACTCTCGCAGCTGTCAACCCAGGCCATATCGATGTGAAAGTTGGCATCGTCATCGCATGCCTCGTTAGTTTTGCTGCCTCTTTCATCGGGTACCGCGCGCTTCACATGTGGGAACGTTGGCAATGGCTTCCCAATCTCGTTGCGATAGTGATTGCGGTAGGCTGCGGCGGACAGCACTTGTGGAAGCAGGCCGAGGCGCCCCCTCCGACAGCAGCTCAGATCCTCAACTATGGAGGTATCATAGCGGGGTACTTTATTACCTTCGGCGGGACAGCATCAGACTTCACTGCGTATCACGACCCCAACAAGACCACCAAGTAAGTTGCAACTATTCCTTGGACCGTTAGCTGCTGACATCCTGTAGGCTCAAGATCTTTTCGTACATCTATCTCGGAATCTTGACTCCGTCTGTTCCGCTTCTTATTCTGGGCGCAGCAATTGGGGGTGCACTCAACAGCGTTCCTGAGTGGAAGTCAGGATGGGACACATATGGCATTGGGGGCGTCATGGCTGCCATGTTGGCCCCCTCCGGTGGCTTCGGCAAGTTTGTGCTCGTGGTCCTTGCGTTGAGTGTAATCGGCAACATTGCGGCTTCTATGTACTCGGTCGCTCTCTGCATGCAGCTGATGCTCCCGATCTTTACCAAGGTCCCTCGAATCGTTTTTGTCGTCGTCGCATTAGGCATCATGATACCAATGGCTATCCGCGCAGCCGAGACATGGGCCGACTCACTTGAGAACTTTCTGGGGTTGATCGGGTATTGGGCCGGTTGCTTTGATGCGGTCATCATCGAGGAGCTGGTTTTGTTTCGTCGGATGGACTATAGCTCGTACAATCATGCCGCCTGGAATGTTGCCCGCATGTTGCCTTCCGGTCTCGCCGCCATCGGAGCAAGTGTATTGAGCTTCGGGCTCACGATACCAGGGATGGACCAGGCGTGGTTCACAGGGCCGATTGCAAGGACGACGGGAGATATTGGCTTTATGTCCGCGTTCGTACTGACAGCGATTTTCTATGCTCCACTCAGATGGTTGGAGATCAGAAAGCGAGGGCACGTCTGAACGTGTTGGTCGTTCAGTTGGATGAGAGGACATAAGGCGGAAAGGGGGATATACCCAGGCAAGCGAGGTATGATAGACCGTATTTCTCGTTAAGCGCTGCAGCGGGGAAGCAGGGGCAGGTTGATAATTGCAGGGCCCTGACATGACAGGGCAGTCTCGACAGCTGATCAAAATGATACCGTTCCTCGGGCGTCCAGGCGGGTGTTGCGTTGGCGACCAGTCTGACCAACTGCTGAGGTGATCGCCCAGTCACGTTGCCAGGCGTTGGCCTGTGAGAACCGTCCATGGTTTCGACGTAGTTGGCCACGATGCTACATAGCACATCAGGTTAGCCGGGAGCTCGTGGCGCATTTATCATCTAGCGCAGTAAGGGGGCTGTTACCTAGTCCTCTCGGCTGAGTTTGCCACAAAGGACGATGTCCTCGCCAAATTGACGCCACGCTGCATCTGCCAGTCGAGCAGCAGGAACGGGCGTACCCTCCGGAGTATGAACTCGTTCTGGAGAAACGACAACACCGCCGCGCCCAAGCCAAGTCGGTGCAACGGTCACAACGACCGTGTCGACGAGCTGTTGGGAATTGGGACTCAGGAGCGAGTTGATAACTTGGCCTCCTCCTTCGATCATGACGCTGCGTAGGCCTTCGGCAAAGAGGACAGAGAGGATGGAGGGCCAATCGAAACGCGGTTCAGCCTCTCGGGCGTCAAGAACAACAAATTTTCCGCCGTGAGCTTCCAGAACAGTCTGCTTCTCGGAATCAACAGCCGCTGCCGCCCCGATGAGAACAAAAGGCGCGAGTCCCTTGCCTGCTCGAGCGACCTCGAAGACTTTACTGTGCTCGGTGAAATCCCAGCGGCCGCGAGGGTCCAGCACAATGGGCCGAGGCTGAGCGTCAAGACCCGCACCTGCGATGCGGCAGTTCAAGCCGGGGTCGTCGGCGAGAACGGTTCCGACTCCGACGAGGATAGCATCGTGCTGACGACGCAGGTAGTGTGTCATGGCCTTGGATTCGGGACCTGAGAGGCGCGTACGCACCCCAGGAGCGAGGGAAAGCGAAGAGTCCAATGATGTTGCGAAGGTCAGAGTAACGAAAGGACGATTCTGGTTCCTCACTGACTGAATGGCAGATTCTGACGAGAGATGCGGAGCAAGCCAGGCGGCATCCTCGTCCGGAATCTGCAGCGTTTCCGCCATGGTCGTCAAGGTTGTCTTTTCCGTGGACTGGAGAGGCTGAGTGAGTGGCAGTTGCCAACGCAAAGGGCCGGCTTTTACAAGTTTGTGCAATTTCAACTCCTTGGGTAGCGCAAGAGGAGATACGGTGGCTATTACAGGACTGGCCAGGTGCCCCCTAGCTCGTCTGGAAGGCTAGACTGCCGTCCCTGTCTAGACTGCCAACGGTGACCGCGTCAGCCTACCTATCGAGAGGCAATCTGACAAACCAGCACGGGCTAGAATACTTCTTCCCCTGTCAAGCACGGGATGTTTGCGACGGCTATTTTCCCGCCGACTGATCAGCAGTAAACCGAAGCGAATCGCCGGCGGCAGGCAGACAGAGTGGGTGGCCGGGATGAAGTTGAGAGCAAGGTTCCGAAACCCAACACTCTGCAGGAAGCCCGAGTAACAAAACCTATTTATCCGATGAAGAACCTACCGGTACTGCAAAGAATTCGGATGATTCAAGGTTACGTATGCCTGCCGGAAGAAGCTGTGGCCAGCTTGGATGACAGGACAGGAGTCGAACTAGGAGTATTCAGGAGCGCCCGAGAGTACAGCCGGAGGCTACAGCAGTGCCGGCAAAATAACCTGAGTAAAGGTGGTGCCTGAGGATCCAGCGTTGAGGATATCAGGACGGGCGGTATGGAGCAATGGTGGTGGGAACTACGTCGCAACGGTCGTAGCGATGGCGTACTAAGACACTGGCACCGGGTACAGATACTCGAATCTGCCCAGCAAGGAAATCGGGCGCACCGGCTGGGATTTGAATACCTTGCGATCCCGAGTTTTTGACGAAGGGATCTGCAGGATGTGGGTGCCCCGGTGATCTGATTCGAAGCCGTTTTCTCCTCAAACTTGGAGGAGCGGAGAATTGTCCGTGTTGATGCCCCTTGTTCGCGACAAGGTCGATTCAAGGTCGATTCAAAGCCTGAGCGAAACGCAATGTAGTGCCGAAGGAGATGGACGAGACGAGACGTGGCGGTGGAATGTTCCCAAATAAAACTGGCAAGAAAGGCGAAAAACTAGCCGCGTGTTGTTGGTGGCTTCCCCTCCCCCCTTCGCTTACAACCGCACGTACTGGGGTTTGAGCAGAGATTTGAGGTGTTGACTCGAACAGCTAGCGATTTCTGCGTCAGGCGTTGTTCGTGGGTGTGTGGGTGTGCATATATGTGGACACAAGTATGTGTGTACGCTTGCGTGACAGACTGAGAGAGAGAGAGAGCCAGTGAGAGAGAGAGAGAGAGAGAGAGTGAGAGATTGAGAGAGAATGGCGGGAAAAGGTGGACGATGCAAAAAGATCGTGGATGTTGCAATTACCAGTCGTGGTGCAAGTTCATCAGGCTGGGGAGGACGAGAGTGCAATGAAGTGTGAGTGCGACTGCAGGTGCAAGTGCTGATCAGGATTGGACGTTGCTGCTTGCCTAACTCCCCGTCCTTGCTCACTCACCCACTCAGCTTCGCCAACGAGGGCCGCCCGCTTCCTTAGCATTCTAGGTCACACACACGCACAAACACACCACACGAATAAGGCGTACCACCACCACGACCTACCACTTACTTACTGTACTGCAGTCACCCGCGCTGGTCGCACCGAGGATTCGTCGTGGCGCATCAGAGAACAGTCGGCCGCCCCACAGCAACGTGTGTTTCCTCGGAAAGGTGGGCACTGAATGGAGACCAACTCAGCTGGACAGGCGACGCACGACGACTAACTGGGGACTGAAGTCTTGTCTTGGAGACTTTGTTCCTGGTGCCCTCACAATCGTTGGTACCGGTCTGTCTTTGCGACAACCTGTCTGTGGGTGTCAGAGTGAGATGTCAGACGGATATTGAGTCCGCCAACATCAAGCAAAACTTCGGTACGACATGAAGCCCTTGCTTTTTCCCTTTCTCTTTTGTCTTCTTCTTTTATTTAAAAAAAAAACACAAAAAAAAACACCGTCAACCCATGCTAGCATAAAAGACTGACTTTGGAAGGTTGCAAATCCGCCTAGTTCGGGGGAGTTCACAATTGGCTGTCTGCCATTCGAAACCAGCAAACCCGTCGAGTCGATCTCTGTTTCCGCGCAACTCTCGGGATACTACGACATAACCCGGGCAGTTGTCTCATGACGTCTCGATCGGGGGGCCGGCTTGAATCTATGTGGCTTCTTGCCCCTCCCTATGCAGAGGTGCCTCGGGCGAGGCAGGGAGGATGAAGTCGTCTTTGCCTTTCCCATTGCCTCATTCCCATGTCTTCTGGGCCCTGGCCTGCCCTGCGCATATACACCGCCTAGGGCTGCCCCTCCTTCAACGTGAACTCTAAGTAAGTTCAGTGTTACAGTGGGGGAGGTTGCGAGTAAATCCAACTTCGGGGCAGGCAAAGATGAACCCGCTTAGGCGGCACACCTCTCGCACTGGCCACCTCCTTCTCCGAACGCCCGGCGGGAAGGGAGACCGGGCGCCGTCATGGGCATGGGTCGGGTCCTGATTGGGGTTGGTTTTGGGGAACGAGGAATCAAGATTCGTCTCGACGGGCAAAGTGCCTGGGGCGCCGTCTCCTCTGCAGACAGACCCTGCAAGGGCGAGATGCTTCGTCCGTCGTCCTCGACCAGGTTTTAGTCCTTTGGCCTTCTTGCTTTCTGTGCTAATGGCAACTCGTCAACCACACCGTCGTAACCTGCGGCCGCGGACAGCCCATTTCGGGATACTTCCGCTGCCCACTCATCGAAACTCCCCAGTCACACATATCGCGCCTCTGATTTGTCTCCTGCAGCTGCTCCTGTGGGCGATACCAAGCCTGCACGGAGCATCGCTCAAAGTAGATGCGGGAGTGCTTTGCTGGGTATCATCTGGGCTGCAGTATGCGGTCGCGGTCGCTTTCCTCGTTGCAGATGCACACGCAGCTGCAACCTAGCACCGGGACGTCGCTATTTCCGTCTCTCACTCGCTCTCTCGCTGGTTTTCCCGCACGCAACCAGGGTACTGGGCGACCTGACTTCGAGGGCTGTCCCCATGTCGTTGCGCTGACGGTCGAAGCATACGCTTTGATGTAAGTAAGTAAGGAAGCAGGGGTTGTCTATACGAAGGCTCCCTCACTGTGGCGTTGTACCCAATGTTGCAGCCAGTACGTTCCCACGCTGCAATCCACAAAGTGAGTATCTGTAACCTTAACGCCTGCTCTGCACTCCCCTTTCGCAAGCAAGGCTCTGAGAATACCCTGCTGACCTAACCTATCGCTCGTCACCTAATGCTCATACGTTCATCTCGATGTCCCCCGACTAACCTTCATCGTTACGTTACGCTCTTACCTAGTCTCCGTCCCTCCCGCGCGCTGCGGCACATACCTGAATCTGCTTCTCACAGCGTTGTTTGTCATCCGGGTTTCCGACAAGTGCCTAGACGACCCGGATTCGGCTCCCTTGAGCAACCCCCCCCTGCGCACAGAACTACACCACTACCTACCGGTACAATCCTACACACTGGCACCAGCCATCCGACTCCTCCATGTTTTCTCCACGGATGTGGGGAGGGGAGGGGAGCGCTTCTTCGCTTACCATCACTGTTGATGAGACCTGGGCCAATCCTACTTCTCCGCCCGCACTGCCGGCACGCCCAAAACGACGCCCTTCTTTAGATAAACTGCACAGCCGACAAACTCACCCTTATTCAGCTTGAGGCAGCCCCTGCGTCTGGCATTACTCGAGAAACCCCGCCATAGTTATCCAAACAAGTCGACAGCACTGCTTCGCCTTCTGTTATCCAAACGAAGCTGCAGGTTCAAAGCCAGAAATGGCTGTTTTCCAAGTATTATCGGTCATCGGGCATCCTTCACATATCCGCGACGGGGGGCACTCACGTAAACCGGCTCTCTCGGAGGGCAAGCTGCTCAACAACAACCTATCAAACTTGCAGCATATACGATGTGGGATCACACGACAAAATTCCAAGGAACGACGGTAGCCGCTGTGAGGTATAATAAGAGGGGCAGGCAGGGAGGCGATTGACATCGGACAAGCTTAGGCCCAGCCCAACCTGACAGCGGCATTTGCCAGAGGCGATCAGCAGGGCTCTAATTGACTGCATACCTGTCTTGGCGCAAAGGTAGCCTAGTCACAGGCTCTCTGTCGCAAAGTATTCGCGGATCCTGTACGACTAAGAACGAGGTGATGTATCCTGAAAGTAACCTCAGTACGTACGCACGACGCGTCTGGTTCCAAGATATCCCATCCCTATCCGACGACAGGAGGCCAGAAGGTGCCCCTCGGCCACACTCCACCCGACAGAGCTTGGGGCCCACGTTGTATCGCACGCCCCGACATTGCTGGCAACGAGTACTCGGTCTTTCGACATACTTGGCCTACCCACCGACACACGATGAGAGTGAGATTGGGGAGCTGCAGAAGATAGTCACCGGCGATCACCTATTGCCGAACCCCAATCTTAGCACCCTCTGGGGCTAGCGATTGCCGGCCGTGGGTCCAGGTGCGTCCTTCTGCACGCCACTTCGAGCCCAGTCATTGCCTCTCTGGCGCCAGGGATGTGGCGCCTCTCACCCGGCAGCGTTCTCTGCATTCTCGGGACAGAGGCATACTGTTCTTGGCAGTACATGCCCCATCCGTCGTGGGCTTTTTGCTTTACCCTGCCTCATCTCAGCCTCCGTTGGGCCGCGTTTAGAAAGGGCGGGACAGGCAGACAGAAATGGAGCGAACGTGGCCGGACATTGACATTGCTGGCATTTTCTTCCGGTTTTACAGGACATCTCGCATCTTTCGAAGCAGAAGTGTGTTCGAGGCCATGCACGGGATCCTGGTACGGAGAACGACCGATTCGTCTTCATGTCCGACTTGAGCCCGGATGAAATGACGAGCCCGGTCCAACCCGCGGTCATCGACGGGACGCCTGTGCGGGAGATCGAGGCTGCTCTGGCCTAATATTTCCTACTGGAGCCTTCGTGTGCCGCAAAAGACGATTGTTGGCCAAAGCTTGCATCGACCCATTCCATGAAGGCATTGCACTAGTGTTTCGACCTTCTGGTGACATCCTGAGATCTGGCCAATGCCTGAGGGGGTATGTTCAGTTTGAGTTGCAGCAAATCGGTCATCCATGGTGGGGGCACACCAGAGGCCCATGAACCCAGTACTGTCTTCTGCCGCCGGCAGGCAAATGGCGGGACGTTCCCTCACTAGGTCATCTGGAATACGTACCTTTGCTGTACTATTGCTATCCAAGGAGATCAATATCTGCGCAACCGTCCACTGGTCGATTGATCTATCTTAGTGCCTGGATGCAAGGGCATGCTCTCGGCCCACGGTTACCCTCCTCCACAGGAAAGACCGGCTGGACGCCACAAGTGTCGTAGGTGGAACATGACATTTATCACGCCAACTACCCTTCCGTCCCCGACTACATGTCTGCCACACTTTACAAGATTCAACAACTCGGTTCAGACATCAATGGTTTAGTCGTTCTCCGTCCTCCCGCCCTCCATATACCTCAGCCATGGGATCCATCATTCCCAACTCCAAGAGATATCCGAAAGTCTCAGACCCACTGCCGACCTTTGGTGCATCTGCTCAACATGCTTTTGCCACGGAGCCGGCTCCGGCAGATCCGTACGTCTACCAGGTTGGATTCGGGAACAGATTCTCTTCTGAAGCCATGTAGGTATCCATTGTCGAATTCTCAATTTTGGGTATCTTTCGGCTGATAGAAGCAGCCCGGGAACTCTTCCCCGGTCCTGTAATGTCCCGCAGAAAGTCAAGTACAACCTCTACTCGGAGCAGCTGAACGGCTCGACGTTTGTTTCACCACGAGCAGATATTCAGCATGCATGGTTTTATCGCATTTTCCCGTCCGTGGCTCATGGAGACCTCAGGAAGATGGCACTAAACGCAGATGTAAGTGATTCCGTTGAGCCAACTCCCTTTTGATGAGACCCGCTTCCTGACTCTACCGATCATCAAGATGGAGTCACGGTTTACTTCCGGGAACGAAAACGTCGACTACGTTGCCGGTGCGCTCTGTTGGAGAGCATTTCCCATCCCCAAGGCCACCGGCCCAACTGTGGACTTTGTTCAGGGGCTCAAGAGTATAGTCGGGTACGGAGACCCGACGACCAAGGACGGACTGGCGGTGCATGTCTACGTCGCCAACGCATCGATGAAGAACCGCGCTTTTTGCAGCAACGACGGAGACATGCTTTTTGTCCCTCAAGTTGGAAGACTGGATATCCAAACAGAATTCGGAAGGTGGAGTGTCAATGTCCCCTTTGGAAGCCCTTTTTGCTGACGTTGATGGTAGGATGATGGTACGGCCTGGAGAGTTAGCCGTTGTCCAGGCTGGCATCCGTTTCAAGGTAGATTTACCGGATGGACCGGCCCGGGGGTGTGAGTCACTTGACGATTCCGCGGTCCTTTTAGGATAAACAACTAATGGGCTCAGATATCCAAGAAATTTTCGGAAGTCGGTACGAGCTGCCAGAACTGGGGCCGCTCGGAAGCAACGGAATGGCTCTGCCTCGCGACTTCGAGTTTCCCGTCGCCTCCTTTGACATGGACAAATCAGAGTGGGAGAGTAAGACGACCGATCCCGTTACTCGATGATTTGAGCTAATCTCGAAGCCTAGTTGTCTATAAACTTTCCGGAAAACTATGGTCATGCAAGCAGAACCATACGCCCTTTGATGTTGTTGCCTGGGACGGCAAGTAAGTATACGCTCGTCACGTTCGCCCCCTTTGCCAGCTGCATGGTTAACCTCGACACAGCTACGTACCCTTCAAATACGCTGCCGAAAAATTTGTCAACGCAGCCTTCGTCGATAAAGATCAAGCCGACCCAAGTTTGTACACTGTATTGACAGCAAAGTCCAAGACACCTGGGGTTCCTGCAACAGATGTCATGTTCTTCACGCCCAAGTGGTCTTCGGCAACAAACGCCTACCGGCCTCCTGTACGTGCTCTTGATAAGCCTTGAATCTGCCGGCTGACTTGCAGTAGTACTACCATCGAAATATGGCAACGGAAGTTGTGGGATAGTGTACGGCGACTACAAAGGCACGAGTCGCAACTTGGAGGCCGGTGGCCTGAGTTTCCAGTCAAGCTACACACCTCATGGAGGTAAACTCTTCGCAAGGCCGAGACACAAGTACGGGCACTAACTGTAGACAGAAACACACGAAGCATTTGTTCAAGCGACGACTAGCGAGCTCACAGCACAACGCGTAGGAGAAGGGTTCCTCGGTATGGACGCAGCCATTCGGGAGAAGAGGCACCAAGGCTTACAAAAGACGCAGGCTTCATGTTTCAGATCAGCACACATTGCGCGGTAACACAATATGCTCTGGAGAGAAGCGGCGTATTGGAAGGTGAGAGCCCCTCCCCCCTTTAGTCCCGATGTAAGGCAGACGCAGGCAAATGCTGACTCGGCGATAACAGTGCCGCCGGCATCTCTATGGGACTCGATGCAAGGCCACTTCTTTGAACACGTGGACGAGGTTAACGAGGACCTGCGGAGGCGAGGATGGCCGCTTCTTGGATCGGGCCCTAGTCGTTGACACGGATCATTGTGCGGTGCATTTGCCCGTCTGCACGACAGTTCTCCTTGTTGACCCCTCCTCGAACTCTATTTTTTTTTCTGTCGTTCGGCCATTCCACCTAGCGAAGGGGAATGATGCAAAGCGATGCGATTGCACGAATGGCTCGGAGTTTTCTACTAGCAGAAGGGTAACGCCCCTAGTTCTAGTGGAGTTTTGGGGAGGACTTCGTTTTGCCCCGCTCAGCGTTAGGTAGTAATGGACGAGAGATGGTGGAATGTACATTTTGGGAGGTGGTGCCGGTCACTGACTGGGCGGAGCTTGCGTTTTGAGAAGGTGGTAAAAGGAACGCTGTAGACCGTGTTAGAGAGAGAACGAGAAAACATCAATTCTTCAATATATTTCGTTAGGAGGAGCCAAGCTTGGCTAGGTGCGTTGTTAATGATGAATGGGGTTAGTGAGTGCGTGCATCGCCGTATCTTGGCCCCCTAGTGACATAGATACTTATTTTTTACTTTGAGCGAAATTTTCAACAGCATCCGATATGGTGTAGTGGCCAACATGATGCCCTCTCATTAACTTGCGAGGTTAGGCATAGCCCCGAGTTCGATTCTCGGTTTCGGAATTTTTGCCGCTACACCACAACGAAATGTGTTGCGCTCTGTAAGAGTGCCTTGACGTTTTGCTAATCAGTTTGCTTAATATTTGAAAACCCGGTTACTACTCACTCGTCTTGTCATTTGAAAATTGGCCAATCTCCCACCCCTTCCCCCACCCTTCAGCGTCGAGCCAAACGTTGTAAGGTTAATTTAGCGGTTTCGAGATGTGCAAAGGGTTACCTACTTGCCCTTACTCGGCGAAGGAGAGAGGCTGCCTTCCCACAGTCAGAACGAGACTACTAAGCCATCAACGTGCCGCGCTTCCGACCATTCGTCCATGTCGTCCTTTCCAGGGTCTTTGGCGATAGCATCCTGCACTCTTAGCAACGCATCGTGGAATATCTGCATGCCTGTCCTTTTGGCCACTTTTATTTTGACTTCGAATCCGGGCGCTAACAACCGGGATCTCGAAAGCTGACTGGAACATCCCCGGCGGCACTGACACAAGAGGGTTCGGAGAATAGGGAAGGGGAAGGGATTGGACCCTGCGAGACGTCATGTGAAGGAACCCATCAAGGCACAAACTAGGTTCACAGTCTCTAGGGTGTGGTATCCGTCACTGTTTGGTTGCATGCGCTGAGTGATGTCGAGGTCGTTCCAGGGCCTCCCTGTGGCTATCATTATCCTCGCGACAAAACCAGGCTCGAATCCTGCAAGTCTCCGCTACAGGCTAACCTTCTTAAATGCCCATGACGGACTGGACTGTCTTAAACATGCAAGGCGTGTATAGGAAAGAACGCTGAAGCCCCAAGCCAAGCTCAATGGCACAAATGGCCAACTGGGGTGGGTGGTCGAGTAATTAGCAGCCTCATTCTCTCTTGTTGTTTACCGCCTGGTGATGATCATGGAGGCAAAACCTCATTTGCACATCATCGGCACGGAGAGCGCGTCAGTAGCGCAAGAGATCCCGGGGCAGAAGGAGACAGGCCGGGAAGAGCTCCAGGCACCCAACATCAGGGTGACAGTATCGAAACCGGATTCGGAGCCGGGGCCGAAGGCTGGGGCCAGGACACCCCCTGTCGCAGCCGCCGTCTGCAAAGGAGCCCTGTCGGATGCCTTGTGGAGCCCGGCGCGGTCGGACCCGGCTGCCGTCGTCGCCAGACTGTAGGCCTCCCGGGGCTGCGTCAGCGCGTCGCATTGATGCGCCGACCACGGAGAGTGGGCGAACGTACGGTTCCGCTGACGGAGCGCTCTATGGACTCCAACCCGGCATCAGATGGGTGGGCGGGCACGGCGGGCAGATGGTCTCTGGGATGGATGACGTCCAATCATTGAATGGTTGGATTCCTGTCGAGGGAGCAGTCGGGGGGCGACAGGGCGACAGGCGGACGAATGTGAGACAGGGAGGGTTTGGGGCTGGGCTTGCTTGACGCGCCGTGTTCTGTTTCCCGAGCTTGTCCTGCGTTAGGTGTGCAAGGATGATGGGATGGGACGAATGCAAAGAGGGGGAGCCTGCTTGCACGAACCGTGTGTGCCCTTCTGTTGGCCCTTTCTGTATCGAAATCGAGCTGCAGCGTAAACAGAATGAACAGCAACCCAACACATCGTGCCACTTCGCTAAGGGGGAAAAAGCTAATATCAATTTCCCGGGTCGAACACGGGTAGCACGGAGCTTGTCGTATTTGCACTGCAAAAACCCCCAACAAAAAAAAACCGGCTTACGAAGACCCCAAGCCCCCAAGGCCCCCCAAGACCAACCAGTTGCAGACGCGGCGCGCCGCCCAGAGACTTGGTACGCATAAGCTATTTCAGGCTAGAGTCACGAGTACCACCACAAACCTAACGCCGGCTCCCCCTCAGCAGGGAATGGGAACAGGCGACGGACCCAAAGAGGCCAGACAGGTTGCCTCCCAGCGCCGCGTGCGCGGCTTGGCTCTTTCCCATCCAGTTCGTTTTGCCCATCCCTCTTTCCCCAACATCGCCACGTTCTTCCGGGTGGTGCGGCCATTCTTTGCCGATTTGTTTCCCTGTTGCAATTCTTACCTCTTGCATATTTGTTTATTCTCTCTCCCTCTTCCATACACCTCCACGACTTCCGACCGACCAAGACCATCTGCCATCGGATCGAACATCACCTGTCGCATCGCGCGTAACCGAGAAAGTAATCTTACCACCCGATCCGACGCCGACAGCCGAGAACAAGTAATCTCTTGACAATACATCATCTCCCCTTGGCATCGAACGCGCATCGTCTATTCTCCCTCCTGCAACCACAGAGATCACCAAACAAGACTTCAGAATGGCCGACCACGACAAGCCTCCCGCTTACGGCGGCCCTCCTCCCCAACACCCCCAGCAGGCGTACCAAGGCTACTCATCCCCCCCTCCCCCGGGCGGTCCGGGAGGCTACGGCACCCCTCCCCCGGGACAGCACCCGGGTCCTTACTACTCCCCTGGCCCGGAGATGGGCTATGGCCCTCAGGGCGGTCCCTACCCGCCCCCCGGCCAATACCCCCCGGGACAGTACCCTCCCCAGGCGCACTACGGTCCGCAGGGCCCGTACCCGCCGCAGGGCGGCTACTACCAGGACAATCGCGGTGGCGGTGGCGGAAGCGGCCTAATGGCCGGTCTGCTCGGTGCGCTTGCGTGCTGTTGCTGTCTTGACTGCTTGTTCTAAGCGCGCGCCGGAATACGACGAGGAAGGTGGAATGCGGATACTACGATACCCCAACCCTCGCAAGGGACAGAAACTACGAGAAAGAAGGAAGCCTGCCGGGACAAGCGAGACAGAGATCCTGAAGGAGCACAGGCTGGGAGGGGTGGCTTGGATATGTGCGGTGCTGAGAGACGTACGGCATAGAAGCAGACATTTCCCCTTCTTGCGTGGCAAGACCGGGGTACATACGACAGAACCAGCCGGCAGTCTCTCTGGGAGAGCAGCAGCCGACGGGTAGAGCTGGGCAGTACATTTCTATTATTCTATGAAGTTTCGCGTACGAATTTGCATGGCGTCAAAGGACGATGGGATTTATTCATTGTCGTGGGCCTCGAGGAGGAAAGCCAGGAATGTCGCCCCGGGCTTCCAGGAAGGCCTCTTAGGGCCGCGGTCACGCTTTTTGGTTTTGTGCCACACGAACACCCCTATTCATTCGTTTGAGGGTCGTCTCCTTTTTGTTGGCTCGGTTCTGAGCCGGGAGCCGAGGGAAGCCCGTAGGTAATATGGCCGCACTCTCTCCTGAGGCGTGCTTTTGAGATATTGCCGGATAGCATAATATCGTCACGGATGCGACTTGACCTCTCGTCCCTTGCTGTGTGAATGTGAGCCGAGCACGCCGAGGCGCGCTGAGCTGACTTGAGCTCGAGTGCGGGGTACAGGCCGGGGACGCTTCATCGGGGTGGCTTGGACGACTACACATGCGTTCTGGACAGACGCCACCGAACCATCAGACACGCACGAGCACTCCGCCACCTGGAACAGGATTTGAAAAGATTGTACCAAAGGCAGCTTGATTCATTTACAATTAAAACTATACTTTTATGCCGCGCTCTTGTACAGCTCGTCAAAGTCTCGTTGGATGTTGGCCACACAGTCGTTTGTGTAAATCATGCGCTGCACGTCGGGCGAGGCCCACTTATCCGGCACAGCGCCGGCCGACTTGTGCTCGGCGAACATGCGGTCGCGCTCCTCCTTGGCCTTGCCCTCGCCGAGGTGCAGCTGCTTGCCCGACAGGAAGGCCATGTTGACGAGCTGGGAGGTCCAGTCGCGGCGCGAGAGCTCGTAGGCCTTGAGGCAGCGGCGGAGGGTCGCGGGTTTGGTATCGGGCGCGCGGGCGAGCACCTCGGCGACGACGGAGCCGTCCTCGATGGCCATGGCGGCGCCCTGGCTGAGGTGAGGGAGCGTCGGGTGGCAGGCGTCGCCGAGGAGGGCGACGGGCCCGTCGGTGTGCACCCAGGCGGGCAGCGGCTTGTGCATGCGCAGGCGCCACTCGCAGACCTCGCCGTCCGGGACGAGGTTGAGCATGCGGTGGACCAGCGGGCAGAAGTCGTGGAAGACGTCGAGCATGACCTTTTTGGAGCCCCTGGTGGTGTAGGTCGCGTTGGTGGCGGCGGCGAAGTTGGAGTCGGGCTGCGTGGTCGAGAGGTTGTAGATGGTGTGCGAGGAGACGGGGTACGCGATGATGTGGCGCTTCTCGCCGATCCAGCGGACGACCTCGTCCGAGTCGAGGAGCGCGAGGAGCTCCGGGTCGCCGGCCATCTGCTCGCGGGTGAGCATGATGCGGTAGGCGGCCTGGCCGGTCTCCTCCTCGCCACCGACGGCGCCGATGGAGTCTAGGAGCGAGCTGCGGACGATGCTCTTGATGCCGTCGCAGGCGAGGAGGACGTCGGCCTCGACGGAGCGGGCCTCGCCGTCGCGCGGCTGCACAGTGAAGCTGGGCTTGGGCGCGAACGAGTCGATGGACGCCAGCGCCGTCGCGAAGTGGAACGTGACGGCGGGCTCCTTCTTGCATGCGCCGTACAGGCCGCCGGCGAGCGAGGAGCGGTGGTCGTTGCAGTGCGGGTACCCGTACAGCTCACGAATGTTGGGCATGTCAACGTGCGCGAGCTCGACATTTGTCGATCCCTCTGTTTGCGGTGTTAGTCCCGAAGCTCTCTCTCTCTCCGTCTGTATTATCGTGCGGGGGGGGGGATGGTTTACGTCTAATGCTTGAGCCCTTGACGTCTGTACACGTCTTCTCGATGTCGGGCCAGCAGCCGAGGCGGTCGAGGACCCGGACAACGTTTGGTGGCATCTGAATCCCGGCGCCAACGAAACCGAGGTTGGAGGCCGTCTCGTAGACGTCAATGTGGTTAAAGCCCTTTTTGGCCAACGCGAGCGCGCAGCCCAAGCCGCCCATGCCTACGTGGGGTCATGTTAGTCTGAAGACGCAAGGAGAGTTTGGCGGGCAGTACCGGCGCCAATGATGGCAATCTTCAATTCTTTCGGGTCTGACATGGTTTCTGAAATGGTGCCGTAGTGCTCCTCGGAAGCGTAACAAACCGCAGAGCTCAACTCAAGCGGATCATTCGACATCACCGGCCCATCGGTCGTTTATGAAGTCGGCGCATCGAGCCTCACATGGAGAGGCCAAGTGGGGGATCGGAGGGGAAGCTCGGGGTCCATTATCGGCTGGAGAAGCGGGGAAGCAGGCGCGAACAATGGGGGGAGGGCGCGGACGCCTCGATATTTCCTAACTCCCCTTGGACCATTGATGCGTTGGTAAGGGAGCCGGGATCGCAAGACGGGAAGTGAAAAAGATTCACCGGGCTATCATTGGCAGGTGAAGGCAACGGCCGATGGGTGCTGTGGGGGTAATGCGAACTCTAGAATACTGCCGTACCCCAAATCGAGCGGTCAAGGTTGCTTGAACGTTTAGCCAGCGTTGCCGATGTTGGTGGTTGGCGAGATGCGCACGGAACGAATCGGCTTAGTCAGGTGTGCGTCGGCTGCGAATGTCGGCATGCAACAACGTGCGTCGAGGGTCCTGCGCTGTGGTAAAACGCCGCTCACTAGCTCCGTCGTTGACAGCGGCGATTGTGTCCGTGTTGTTCAAGGTGGGCTGTCATGGCTTGGAACCGAGACACCATCCAGATTTGGGGATAATCCCCGCATTCGACGAGAGTGCGGAGGGAGGGCCGAAGTCCAGTCGTCATGTTGCAAGAAACCGGCACGGTGCCCCGGTCCTGGGTCTGCCACTATTGCTTTACTAGGTTGCCCAAGCCGTTCAAAGGGATCCGATGACGGCTCGCTACGCTCCCTCACCCATGACGATAGGTGATGGGCTCCTTTGGACAGCTGGACGCCGAGAAACCAGATTTGCAAGACAGCAGGGCCTGTAAAGGGATGGAAGAGTGGCTGGCACACCGGATTGTGGATGGTGGCGGCATGCAGCAGGGCTGATCAATGTCTTTCACTCGATGTCAAGATTTCCATCCTCGGTGTCGATTCCAGCTCCCCAATCTGGACATCTCATGTGACGGCTGATGTTGTTGCTCGGGACATTGTGCCAAGGAATGGTGCTCCTCCCGACTAATGCTGTACGCGGGAAGCAAACGGCCCCCCATTCTCACTAGTGGTCTCTGCCAGCCCGTGTGGGAGGGAGACTTGCCTTGGCACGCTTGGTGACGCAAACCTGCCTCTTCAATGTTTCTTTGGCGTAGCTGTCAATGCCCACCACTGGAAAAGGCATGCACGGCGCCGCGGAGAGGTATCTCGGCAAAAGCTTCGTCTTCCGAACGCGACCTGTTGCGAGACTGGACAGACGGCACGGGTGACGGCAAAGCAAATGTCGCCAGTTTCCTCGGCGAGTCCACAACACAGGGCCTTTGCCTCCCAATCGGTGGCACCCTTGGCATAGCCATGCAACCACGCCCCCCGCAGCCGGGACACCGCTCTTGGACGACTGGTAAGCATATTCGGGTGTGGAGAGGTGTTCGTTGGATATTTGCCTTGTTCGCACCAGGAGCACCCGGCCAAGGCTTCGCGAGGCGGCAACAGGACGCCACAGTTACGGCTTGGTATCCCGCGTCTTTATGCAGCACAAACAAAACAATGTTTGCTGTGCTGTGCTGTGAATGAATGAGAGATAAGGGAGTTCGTTTCCTTGACTCACAAAGGGAACAAGCGAATGAGCGACTGAAGATTTGCTCAGGGGTATCAAGGCCTTGGATCAAGGAAACAAGCTGGCTCGGTAAGATTTGGTTGCCCTTGGGACGAAGCGCGCGCGCTGATCTATTTACGACGTGCGTCAGCGTAGCGCGTCAACATGAGATGCAGCGAGTGGCTATCCGCCCTGAGAAGTGAATAGGCGGCACAATTCTTTTTCGTGCACTAGATACAGACGACGGGAGGGCCGTAGAGGGGCCCTGCAGCAACGACTTAGGGACAGCAGCCCGAGCGGATGGATAAATACAGTCCGTGGACTGGACAGCAGTAAAGTCCCCTGCTTACAGAATGCTGCCACCGACTGATTGCCTACTCTATTCGTAGATACACGTACTGCCCTGTACCCCGTCCTGTAATCGAGGGATGCCCACTGGGTCAAGAATGATTGGGTCGTAAGCCACCAGCAAAGCCTCCCAAAGCTGCTACAGAGTCAGAGTCATGGCGAACTGCGGCGGGATCCCACTTTGTCCCGCAGAATTGACAGGGGTCAGTTTCGTTTGAAGCGAACAACCAATGAAGCCGCTGATGTCACAGGTGCAGGGCCTCTCGAGCGAAGCGCCGCTAGAAGAAAAAAAGAGATGGGGAGCGATTGTCTTCGCGGGCCTGCAGCAGCTGAAGCAGCAGTAACTGCTGCAGCAACCCCTGTCTGGGCCCCTGCAAGGTTGCATCCTGCGCCCTACCCAGCCAATCAATGAACCACATTGACTTCGGTCAAACCCTTTGGCTACGATTGCTTGGCACCCTCTTTCTCTGCCTCTCTCTGCATTTGCCTCTCGACCTCTTTTTCACGTCTCTTCCTCGTCGGAGCTTCTTCATTAATCGCTGGCCCGCTCGCTGCTCTTCGAACCTGCCAACCACTCTGGTGCACGTTGATCACAGCGGCAGCTTACTCAACCACACGCCATCTCGTTCCGACAACACAACGACTCGGGAGAACAAGACGCCCCTCGACGAAAGTACAATGCCTATCCTGCTTGTTTCGTAAACCATATCCCTCCCCCACGATTCCCCCATCTTTTCCCCGGCCGAGAAGAATACTCTCTTTCTCGACCACTCCGACCTCGCACCCACCCGACGACTCTACGATTCTCTCGACGCTGGCCACAACCTTGTGATTGGCTATCGACGACGGTCGGCACACGCAGTGCAAGATGTCGGCAACTCCCACCGCGACGCCGTCAGGCTCGGCGTCACTGACGGGCACGCTTGCCTCATCCCTGGCTTCGTCTCTGTCAACCGCCCTTTCCGCTACAATCTCTGCGACTCTGAGCTCAAACGGAACCATTACCTCTTCGGCGTCACCAACGGCAGAGCCCTCGCCGGCTGAAACGTCAGCCCTGCCTGCTAGTGTGGAAAGATACCAAGGAATAACTCTGGTTGCGTTCCTCACTGCTCTGGCAACCGGTATTGCAGTCTTTTCCTTGCAGGTCATCGCCTTCTTGCTCCTGCGGAACAAGATTGCGCGTATCTTGTGTGTTGACCCGCCCCTGGTCATCTGGCTGACTGATGACTGACATATGGCAGTAAACCAAAGACGTATCTTGTTCCGGAACGCGAGAGAACAGAGAGCCCCCGAGCACACCGTGGAGTCTCCTCAGCACACTAATTCATTACAACGACCGCGAGATCATCAAAAAGTGTGGCTTGGACGCCTACTTTTTCCTCCGCTATCTCAAAACTCTCCTTACAATCTTTATCCCCATTGCCCTAATTGTCATCCCCATCCTGACTCCGCTCAACTATAGCGACGGTGTGGGCCATGACTTGATCGATGACGCCAAGAAAGAGACCACCAACGGTACCAGCTCCGCCCGGATTCGTCTCAGGATCAGAGACGGCGAATCGGCCAGCAGTGATTCCGACACACCTACAGGCCTGGATACCTTGGCCTGGGGCAACGTCAACAGGAGCCACACTGGCCGGTACTGGGCACATCTGGTTCTAGCGCTTCTCGTTATTGTTTGGGTTTGCTTTGTCTTCTTTTTTGAGCTTCGCGTCTACATCAAAGTCCGACAGGACTACCTGACGAGTGCCGAGCATCGCCTCAGAGCTTCAGCCACGACCATTCTTGTCAATAGCATTCCTTCCAAGTGGCTGTCAGAGGAGGCTTTGCTGGGTCTCTTTGATGTGTTCCCAGGTCAGATCCGGAACATCTGGCTCAATCGTGACTTGACCACACTGCTCGAGAAGATTCAGCTACGCGAGAAGATCCACCTGAGATTGGAGGGCGCTGAGACGGAGCTTGTGAAAGCTGCAAAGAAGAAGCAACTGAAGAGGAAAAAGAAGGAGGACAAGGCGGCCAGAAAGGAGGCCAACGCCAAGGGGCCGACTAGGCAGGAGGAGGCCATGAGGCGACAGCGAGAGGATGCCGAAGCCAAGAAGAGAGCTGAGGCTGGTCAAGGTATCAGCTCTGGGGAGCATGAGGAAGTTCCCCATGACATCAGCGCGATAATAGACGAAAACAGCAGGGACCCGAAGTCGAGACGCTCAAGCACCTCATCCTCGGACTCCTCAGACGATGGCAATCGGCCACAGTCCCGGGGTTTCGGGCTTGGGCTTCTCGGGGACGGCATCAGCAAAGTCGGCAAAGGCATCCTCGGCGGCGTCGGTAAAGCCCATCATAACATCAAGGAATTCAGCGATGACGTGGAAGAGACCGTTGAGACGACAAACGGCTTCGCCATGCTGCACCCGAGTGATCGTCCTCGCAAAGTCCAGATTATCACCGAGGACGAACGGCCTGGAACGGCCAAAAGTCCAAGAAGCACCACGGAGCAAGCCGAGCCGTCTCCGAATACAGAGACGTACAGGACGCACTCCCGAAACCCATCCGCTGTCTCCCAGGAAACCACCGACCAGAACTACAAGCGAAGCTACGAGCCGTTTGGTAATGGCAACACCGTGCGCAAAGTCAGCAACCTCGATCACATGTACGACCAGAAGGAACGCAAGTTCTGGCAGTTCTGGAAAGCCCCTGCCGGTGGCTACGCATCGCCTGTGCCTCAAGGTTTCGAAGGCGGAGATTATCCTTTCGGGCAGACAAAGGACAAAACTACATGGCAGAAAATCAAAGCCTATATTCCCTTCATGGGCGGAGCCGACGAAGCACCTGTTGAATATCCCGAATCCAACGCCATTGGCGGCGAGTACAAGAACATCTTGGATGACGAAGCAGAGTGGCGCAAATGGGTCAAGGAGAAGAACAGGCCGATGCATCGACTGCCGCGGTGGGGCTTCCCTGACTGGCTCGCCTGGCTTACTTTTGGTCCCAAGGTTGATACCATCTATTGGTGTCGGTCTGAGCTGGCACGTCTGAACGTGGAAATCGACGACGATCAAGCGCACCCCGAGCGCTACCCCCTGATGAACTCCGCCTTCATCCAATTCAACCACCAGGTTTCGGCACATATGGCTTGTCAAAGTCTCATGCACCACATCCCAAAGCACATGTCACCTCGAATCAACGAAGTCTCACCCAAGGATGTCATCTGGGACAACATGGCATTGAAGTGGTGGCACGAGTCCATCAGGTCTGGTATCGTCACTGTCGTCATCGCGGCCATGGCCTTTTTCTGGGCCATCCCCATCGCTTTTACCGCCTCCATTGCCAACATCGACGGCCTTGTTGACCAATTTCCCTGGCTGGCATGGATCAAGAAGGACCCCGTTGAGAAGGTTGCTGGAGCCGTTGCCGGTGTCTTGCCCGCTATCCTGCTCGCTCTCCTTCTCTTGATTGTTCCCCTCATCCTCGAACAGTTGGCGCTTTTCCGAGGCGTCAAGACCGGGTCACAAAAGGCCGAATTTGTCCAGCGCTTCTACTTCATCTTCCTCTTCATTCAAGTCTTCCTCGTCGTTTCGATTGCCTCGTTCTTCGTTGCATCAGTCGACGAGCTGTGGAGCAACTTTGAGCAGCTCTCAAACGTTACCAACATTCTGAACCTCCTCGCCAGAAATTTGCCCAAGGCCTCCAACTACTTCTTCTCGTACATGTTGCTCCAAGCGCTGTCTGTCAGTTCGGGAACACTGCTCCAGATCGGTGGCCTTGTCACTTGGTATCTTTTGGCTCGAATCCTAGACACTACAGCTCGTGACAAGTGGAAGAGGAACACAACTCTCTCGACGATTGCATGGGGACAATTCTTCCCCGTCTACACCAATTTCGCTTGCATCGCCTTGGTCTACAGCGTTATCGCGCCGTTGATTTCGCTTTTCGCGGTCCTGACATTCGGCTTGTTGTGGTTCGCGCAGCGTTACAGCATGCTGTATGTCACGCGGTTCGAGACCGACACAGGCGGTGTCTTGTATCCTCGCGCAATCAATCAGACATTCACAGGCTTATACGTCATGGAAGCCTGCTTGGCAGGCTTGTTCTTTATCGTCGTGGACGAGCATGATAACAATACTGCAACACCCCAGGGCGCCATCATGCTGGTAACGATGATCCTCACGGCAGTCTACCAAGTTTCGCTGAACACGTCCTTTTCGCCTCTGTTCCGGTATTTGCCCATCACTATTGAGGATGAGGCGGTTATCAGAGACGAGGCATTCCAGCGAGCTCAAAACCGACGTTTGGGACTCGTCGACGGTGACGATGATCTCGACGACGAGAAGACACCCATGACGAATGGCGACGGGCCTAAAGCGGAACCCCGAGGTATTGAGTTGCAGAGGATGGAGGATGGGGGAGCGCCGAAGAGGAAGCCATCGACGATGCGCCGAGTCAAGGACGTCGGTCACTGGGCTAAGCGGGGAGGCAAGAACCTCCGCAGTAAGACCTGGAACATGGGCGCAGCCCCAGTCCACACGGCTGCCGAGTACCGCCGCCAACAGCGCAACAAGGACCTGGAAGCCCAACGGGCGCTCGGAGAAGCGCTGTACGGCGGGTTCCACGACGAAATCGAAGACTTGACGCCCGCAGAGCGTGACGCACTCGTTAAGAACGCGTTCAAGCATTACGCTTTGCGAGCACGAGCACCCGCTGTTTGGATCCCCCGCGACGATATCGGAGTCAGTGACGACGAGATTCGACGCACGAAGGAGTATAGCGAGCACATTTGGATCAGCAACGAGGGAACGGCGCTGGACAGCAAGATCCGCGTGGTGTATGGCGCCAACCCGCCGGATTTCTCGGAGATTGACATCATCAATCTCTAGACTGTCTTCCTTTTTTTTTTCAAATCATGTAATGAACAAACATTAAGCATATACCCAGCCGGCGTTATGGGAAGCATTCAACATTAGACGAGAGCAAAAAGAAACGGTATTAGTGTTACTCGCCATTGAAACAGCCTCAAAGCTACGCAGAGGAGATTTGCGTTCCCTCCATAACCAGTGATGTGAAGTAGGCAGACTATTGACACGAATAGCAGATCAGACGATGTGACCAGATTCGGCTTATAAATCATTCGAGACCAATGACGTTGGGGATTTGGCGAAGATTCCGAAGTGCATGAAGGGCGCATTCCCCGCATTTTGTATATAGCAATGACTCTTTCCAGATCTAGGACATTGCCAAACACTACGACTCAAACAATCTACTTTTTGACTCCGAAACGCAACCCGGACAAAGGAACCAGCAAGGAAGAACAGGATCGAAAAATGACCAAGTCGGGAAAGGCCAAGGCCGTCGTGAACGGGACCACGGTCGCCGAGGCGACGGAGTGGGAGGAGGTCGAGGGCAACGTCTACTTCCCGCCGTCGGCGGTGCGGACGGACGCGCTCGAGAAGACGGACGCGACGACGTTCTGTCCGTGGAAGGGGACGGCGAACTATTACTCGGTCAAGGTCGGCGGTGAGTTTCCCCCATTTATTCGTGTTTGTTGTATCTCGACTCCCCCGTACTGCGATTCCGTCTTACCGCCGGAGATGGATTCAAGGTCCGGGACGAAGTGGGACGTGACTGACGCTGAGGGGGGATTTCTGGCGCAGATGACAAGTTGCAGAATGCGGCTTGGTATTACCCCACGCCCAAGGACGCGGCCAAAGAGATCAAGGACCACGTTGCTTTCTGTGAGTACCTCGACCGCCCTGGTGAGGAGAGCCTGAAGCTGATGGGTACGTAGACAAGAGCAAGGTAACTGTAACCGTTGAGTAAAGGAGACGGTCAGGGACGGGTTGTTGGGTCGGGACGGACGCATCGTTGTTGCCTGGCGACGATGAGAGGTTCCCCATTCGTATTAACCTCTCTTGGCCAGGCAACAGCTTTGCCGGTATAAGAGTGGCGGGGACGGGCTCAGCTCAATCATAACTAGCCTTGTCGTCTCTTGATGTCACAATGTAAGGCTCGTCCTCTGGCGATTCGTGTGTGAACAATATGCAGGTGTTTAAAGCTTCAGACCGAGGGGCGTAATTGTCACGGGCCTCGATATCGGGGCAAGCCTTTCTAGGTGGAGATGAACTTGGGGTGATGCTCGGATGGACCTAATACTCACCTGCTTGGTTATTGGCCTTTCACGCCACGAAGCTGCGTAAAGGGGGGTCCACCACATTGATGCCCTCCCAGGATCGAGTTTTAGCCACGGAAGCGTACGAGGCCCCGACATGCACCTAGAGTATCACAGGGACCCAATCCGCTCGAATGCATGGGTTGTGACACGGCCTCCATAGTATGATCGCTCTCATCACACACTGTTCATGAATGTCTTGGGGACCTGGGTATTCCTCTACGTAAGCCATGACCAAAGGAAAACTCGTAAAATGACCCGTCTAGACCTCCACAATCTCGTCGTCATCCTCAGCCTCCTCAACCACCGAGCCGTTGGTCAGCTCCTTGGGCTTCGGCTGCTCCTCGCCCTCGGCCGGCTCCTCATCTCTCATGAGGACCTGCACCAGCCGGTCGCAAGCATCCTTGACGCCCTCGTCGTTGACCCGCGCGTGCGTCTCTCGGATGATGGGGTAGACCTTGACCCGCCTCAACAGCTCACGGCCTTCCCTCGTTGTAGTGAAGAGCAGCAGCGTCTCAATGTGAGTCTGGATGATCTTCGGGTCCGGATCACGCTTCTTGTCGGGGGGCAGAAGCTGCAAGTCGGGAAGCATGCCCATGGTGTCGTCCTCGTCGTACTCCTCGTTGCCCGTGATGGGAAGGAGGATATATGGCAGGATGTCGACCTCATCCTCATCCATGAACGTTGAGTGGAACTGGATCTCGAAGGCGACGTTCTTAATGGTGCTCGCGACTCCCTTTCTGCGGATTTCGGACGGGTGCTCGGTAAAGACCTTGAGTTTGGTGATGGGAATGACTTCGTCGTAGTCCTGTCTCGTGACGAAGTGCTGGCGCACCTCGGCGTGCTTGGTGAGATCGGCGAAGAGGTAGGCGAGGTAATCGTAATCCGCGTCCTTGTTGTAGGCTCCCTTCTCCTTGACAAAGAGATCAACGAGCTGATTGAGCACCAAGTCGTTGGACTTAAGTTCTGCTGGTGGCGTTTGCTTCTTTGAAACGATAGTGTTGAGACCATCCCACTTTGCCAGGTTGGCAAGAAGCATGGCCATCGAGTTGGCGTTTGGCTCATCGGGTTTCTATGAGGGGCATCGGTAAGTATCTGGCGCCTGTTTGAGGGCTAGGTCTCCTCTGCAGAGAAGAAGATATGTACTTACCACAATCAAGTCCAGGAGAATGTCAATAAACTTCTGGTCTGTCGCAACGTTCTCGAGTACGTCCTTCTCGGCAGTGAGGTTGACGAGAATTGTGAGAGCATGTTCAGCGATTTGCTAAGATGCATCAGTTGCGAGGTCGCAGTCGAAGTTGTGAGTTTCACTTACAGGATGATCTCTGACTAGGAACTTGAGATGTTTGACTGGTGTAAGGTTCTCAGACTTAAAGATGGAGGGTTGCGCCTGAGAGTAGCCGACCAGGTTTTCTATGGCCACTTTTCTGAGTTGAGGGTTGGGATGAGCGATGAAGCCCACGAGCTGTCATTGCATGAGCCGCGTCCACGTAACGCTTTGATCAGGTGAGCATACCTCTTCCAATTCTGTTGGCATTTTGACGTCCTTTGCGGTGAGATCTTATTGAAACGAGAGACAGATTTCCAGATATGTGCCAGCTTTTAACGTTGTTCCAAGAAAGTTGTCTCGCTTTCTCTGTAAGACAGACCGGGAGAGTCACTTGCAGAAGCTTTTTGGTGGGGTGTTGTGGCGGGGCGGTCGCTATGTCCGCCGATGAAGTCAATACCAGGGATTTCCATTGGCCAAAAGCCATTTGGGACCCGCTAAAAGCCGGTCCAGGGTTCTGGGCACTTCAGGCGCGGGGCAATCGATAAGAAAATCAAAAATTTCTGGCTCGGGCACAGAAAAAAAAAAAAGAGGCAACCGCCAATCCCACTTGTCTGCCGCTCTCCGCCACGATCACATTGTGTCCGAGTACCTCGAAAATGGGCAAGGCAACCACCCCTACCGACCGCCAGTCGCGCAGGCACAACCCTCTGCAGGATGATATCCTTGCTACCGGCCCTTTGAAGAACAAGGCTCCTAAGAAGAAGAAGGGCAAGAGCACCGACGACGACGACAATGGCGAGGGTTTCGTCGATGCGACACGGAGTCGCACCATTCTCAGGCTAGGCCGTGAGCTGGCCGAGGAGGACGCCCCCGCGAAGCCGGAAGCCGCTGCGAAATCGACCGTCGACCTTTTCGGAATCGAATCGAGATATGGCGTTGATGTCGGCGGTGACGAGCAGGCGTACGAGGACGAGGAGGCCTGGGGTGAGGAGGATGAGATTGTTGAGGAGGTTGAGATCGACCCGGAGGACCTCGAAACCTATCGCAAGTTCTTGCCCGAAGCTGAGGACGACCCTGCGGCGATGTTGAACCAGCACGGTTGGGGCAGCAAGGGCCCCGACGACGAAATGGCCGGCGGCGGCACCAATTTGACCGAGCTCATTTTGGAGAAGATTGCTGCACACGAGGCTGCCGAGGCCCGTAAAGCTGCTGGTGTGCCGGTGGTTGACGAAGACTACCAGCTCCCCCCGAAGGTTATCGAAGTTTACACGAAGTATGTGGCGCGGTCGGCTCTGTTGCCGGAAGATCGTTGCTAACAAGTACTAGGATCGGCCATATTCTGTCGCGATACAAGAGCGGACCCCTGCCGAAGCCGTTCAAAATTCTGCCGACTCTACCGCACTGGGAGGACATTATCGAGATCACCGAGCCCCAGAAATGGACGCCCAACGCCGTGTATCAGGCGACTAGGATCTTCTCTTCTTCGAAGCCCCTCGTCTGTCAGAAGTTCATGGAGATCGTCGTTCTCGACAAGGTCCGCGAGGACATCTACGAGAACAAGAAGTTAAACGTCCACCTGTTCAACGCGCTGAAGAAGTCATTGTACAAACCCAGAGCCTTCTTCCTCGGGTTCTTGTTCCCTCTGCTTTCCAGCGGCTGCACAGTCCGCGAGGCGCACATCGTCTCTGCGGTGCTTGCTAGGGTGTCGGTGCCAGTACTTCATTCCGCTGCCGCACTGAAGGGTATCACCGAAATGTACGTATTCCATCCGTCGAATGTGCTTGAGACGATTCTAACATGGTTATAGTGCGGCGCAGGAAGCCTCGCACGGCACCGAAGGCGGTGGTGCTGCCAACATCTTCATCAAGACTCTGCTGGAGAAGAAATACGCTCTTCCCTACCAGGTCATCGACTCAGTCGTTTTCCATTTCTTAAGGTTCAGGAGTGTAGATCCGGCGTCGATCAAGGAAGGCCAGTCATTCTCCGGAGACATGGTCAAGTCGTTGCCCGTTGTCTTCCATCAGAGTTTGCT